ACTTGACCACATATCATGGAATAAATATGAATATTTTTTCTCTTTTTCAGTATGTTTGTCACCACCTGGAAAATATTTATGATGTTGATTGTAACAGGAAATCTGTTACAAGAGTAACAACGTGGTGTAAGCCAAAAAGCCACTCTTTTAGCAATGATGAACAAGCAGATTCCATGTTTCCGTGCATCTGTTCTGTAGTAGGTCACAGGTAACGTCAAAATGTGATAAGAACAAAGTCTTTCCACATTTGAACGTCTTCTGTGATCTACAACTGCAACTTGAAATCTATTTATTTTATATTGTTATAAAGCAAATAATGTAAATGGTGACGTCATCTATGCGTCTCTCCTTTAATAGATCATAAGTAAGAACCAATCAGACGGCACGTGTTATTCAGCTTATCATATAAAGTGCACGTATTTTCTTTGCCTTACAATGTGTTTAGTTCCGGTTTGGATCACGACGATTCTACTGCATGGCACTTATGTTGTTGACATGATTTACAGAGTCAACTTATACCCACATTTCGTTGCAAATGGTGAATGATGGAGGCTATCCAAACCTCCTTGAAAGAAAGTGAGGTTAATAAACAAAATATCATCCATGAATTATAAGAAAGGTGAATCAATGATTTTGGAAAATACACCAACACGCAGTTAATTTTTTTTTATATTAGGATTGTGGCAGACTTGAGACTTGGTGTTTACAACCAGAAATGCCACGACCACGACTGTAGAGGGATTGACTATCGTTCCCTTGGTATGTTCTGGCTGCCGAGAACACATCATTTTTTAGGATTTGTCGGGGAGCAAACTTAAAATCGAGAGTGCGGAAGAACGATTCAGGGACAGTTCTCGCACAGATTCCAATTGAAATGCAAATTATGGCAGGGTTTTTTCTAGGAACAGCAGAAGTAACCTTCAGTTTCTATCTACCTACTTACCTCATCTCTATTTATCTAATTTATCTAATCAATCTATCTATCTATCTATCTATTTTCAGATCTTTTACCAGCATTACTTTAGCTTTTTACAATCCTTCAACAAGATAGTCAAGAGACGCTCACTCTTAAAATTATAAGAAAGGTGTGGATTTTTACGAAACATTTTCAAGACTTTGCAAAAGAATGAAAATAAAGATGGAGCCTTAAAAAATAAACGGGGAGAAGTCTGGAGTATATTCCTAACGGTGGGGAAGTGCTTAACTAAATTTCAGATTAATCCATTAATTACTCAAACGTTGGGAAAGCTTTATCGGTTGCGTTATTTGAGGAGGCATTGAAGGGGTAAAAGTCTCTTTATCATAGAAACTAGTCATAGCCTACTGTCGTATGTTCAAAAAAAGGAATTTGCAAACCCTGATAGCAAACGATACT